CCCCTGTCCCCGGCCCTAGCTCGCGCTGGGCATGCCCTGAGAGGACGAGGGCGGGGGCAGCTGCTGTAGCCCCCCAGTCTGAGGCAGAGCACAGGCCTATGCCCAGCACAGAACTGCCCATTGGGGAACCTCTGCCAGCTGCTCTGGCGCAGCACAAGGTACAGGGGACCAGGGTCAGGGCCCCCCTGCCCACTGCACCCCCAGAATATAAGCTATCAAGAGTATTAATTTATTGGGAATGAGCTGAGGCAGATTCCCCGAGAAACAAAAAGGTATAACTTTAACAAATATATATTTAAAGAAAGAAATATTATTGATTCTATAGAAAACCATTTACCAACGAAGAGGACACCGGAGTCTATTTGAGACAAAAGCTGTTAGAGGCCCAGACCATCTGTCTGTCTGTCCCTCCCTCTGTCCTGGAGTGGCCAGGCCCCTGGCGCACTAGCACAAACAGGAGGCTTGGGTCCAGAAGGGGTGGGTGATCCACCCGCCGCGTCTCCTCCGCGCTTCCCTCTCATAACTTCTCTGCATCTGAAGAACTCGAAGGATGTGCCTTGCTCGCTGATGGGCTGTGTCCTCCTCCTGGGTGTAGCCGCATCCTGGGGGTATGGGTGCGCTGTGCATGCAGCGTGAATGGGGACATGTCACCTGAGTGATACCATTGTGGGTATAGGGGCATGCGTGCCAGGCTGCATGTGGCTCCCTCCCCAGGGCCCCACGCAGGTAGCCAGCCCACCCCACTCGAGTTCCCATGGACACTTCTGCTCATGGTCCAAGGCTGTGTTGTGTGGTTGTCCTCACCCTCTCTTTTCCTCTCTCTCTCTCCCCTCTCCAAAAAGTACTGACTGGTCTCTATCGTGTTTGCTGGTCCACAAGTGTTGGGCACAACTTTGACATTTCTTAAAAAAAAAAAAAGAATTAAAAAAACGCCGAAAACCAGTGATCGTGGTGCAGGGCAGGTGGAGGGGGCCGGCTGGGGCAGCGTTTGGGTATGTAGGGTCCCTTCCAGCTGGCGAGCCCAGCATGTCCCTGCAAGTGGATGCACTCGGTCATGCTTCTGGCCTCTCCTCAGTGGGCAGTCCAGGCCGGGTCCAGCAGGCAAGGAGGGAGCTCTGGGCAGGGCCCTGCTGTCGGCTGTCAATAAACAGCAGAAAAACAGAGGTGCCTGGCTCGCTTCTTGGGGGCATGTTGAGGGGGAATGAAAGCAGGGACTGGAAGCCCGGAGCTGAGGTGTGACGAGCCTCCTCCTGGCAGGGCGGGAGGGTCCAGGAGTGGCCGCAGTCCCGGGGTCAGCCAGAGCAGCCGTTCTGTGCACCATCCCACTTACAGCCGGTGCCTGTGCCTGCCAACCTCAAGGCCACCACAACCCCCTTGCCCCGAGGATCTGTCCCCACTCACAGCCACAGTCTGTGGAGTGTTTATTTCAACCAGGAAGTAATCAAACCTATATACAGTCTAAAAACAGTAAAAAAAGGTGAGTAAAAAGGCCCACAGTCCATCAGGAGTGGGGATGGAAGGTAGGCCGGGCAAGTGTCGTACCTGGCACCCAGAGAGGGGCCTGGGCACTGTCCTGACAGCAGCAGGGACAGGGCCAGGTAGAGGAAGGCTCACTGAGCGTAGGGCAGGGAGGGCACTGCCTGGCTGCCTGAGCCTGTTCCCCTGTCTTCACAGGGCAGGCAGAGCCCCGAGACCATCCCATGTGGCCGCCTGGCTCAGACAGGTCCAAGACAGGCCCAGAGGAAGCCAAGGCCTGGCTTGGATTCTGTTAGCAAGTCCAAACCTGTAGAGAAAGGCAGTTTCATTCAGATAGCTGTCCCGCCACAACCATACCTGCCATCCACACCTGCCCTCCACTGCCATGTGCCTGGGGCTGCTGGCTCCTCAGACCCACCCCCGCTCCATTCTGGACAGCTGCTTTGAATGGCCCAAGCCACAGGCACTGACCTTCACGGTGCTATCCACAGCCCCTGAGAAGAGCCGACCCCGGGACACGGCCAGCGCAGTGACACTGCCTTGGTGGCGCAGCAGGGTCTGCGTGCAGATCATGTTGTCCATACTCCAGACCTGGGGAGGCATGTGGGACATGAGCGACCACCCGAACCCAGCTGGCCACCCTTTGAGCCTCCTGTCACCACTGGGCTCACACGAACCCTGAGGGACCGGTCATAGGATGCGCTGAAGACTTTGGTCTGGTCTGGTGTAGAGATGACTGCCAGGGCATACACAGTGCCCACATGGCCCGTCAGGGTCCGCACCTGCTCCTTGGATTCGATGTCCCACACCTGGGAAAGGTGAGCACAGGTGGGTTGGAGACACAAAGACACAGAGCAAGGTAGGGAAGATGGGCCAAAGTCCAGACCTGCCCTCAGGGGCCCAGCCCTTACGTGGATAAGGTTCTCGTAGGTGCCACAAACAATGTGGTGATTTGTCACAGCGATAGAGTAGACGCTGCCGCCAGACGTCTGCAGGACGTGGATGCAGTCGAGGGTCCGGATGTCCCAGATCTGTGAGTAACGTGGGCTACTTGGTCCCTGGCCAGGAGCCTCATCCCAAGGGCTTCTGGGGCTCTGACACCACAGGGCTCACCGTCCACCCACCCGGGGTTTGTGTGACGGCAGCTCATGGGTGCCGGTAGAGGACACAGGCCCACAGCCCCCGGGTGTGGCCCGGGCCCACCTTGATTGTCTGGTAGGAGCCACTGTACAGGTAGCTCTGGGCTGCCACCAGGGCCCGCACCCAGTGGTTGAGGCCCGTGAGCTCCTTCTTCAACTTCAGTTCCGTGCCCACAATGTCCCAGACCTGTGGGGATGGCCGTGATTGCAGGCTGAGCAGGTGTGGGCGCTGTGGTGACCCACACATGCAGGCACCCCCATTCCCGCACCTTGATGGCCTTTAGGGAGCCACTGAAGAGCATGTTGTGGGACGAGACCAGTGTGCACACTGGGTTGTCGTGGGCCCGGATGGTGTTCACCTTCTGCAGGTTCTGAATGTCCCACACCTGATGAGGGGACCGGAGGCCTCAGGGCACTGAGCCCTGCAGCCCAGGGCTTGGGGCCCTGAGAAACATGTGCCTGCGGTACTCAGATGCCAGTGCAGGCCTGGGCCACCACACTGCCCCCCACCCACAGGCCCTACTCACAATGATGGTGCAGTCTGCAGAGCCGCTGTAGAGTTTGCACCTGCAGGAGCAGAGCCATCGTGTCAGGGCAGGAGAAGCTGCTGTCCCTGCTGGCACTGCCCTGGCCAGAGCTGAGGGCAGTGCTGACTGTCAGGAAGCAGCGGTCTGGCCCAGGGCCAAGGCCATGGCTGTGTCCCTAAGCCCGGCCTGTTTCCCAGTCTCAACATGGGAACCTTGGAAGTGGCGCCCCAGCCCCTGGTGCCTGCCTGGAAAGCATTTGACAGCGAGCTGGGAGGTAATTACCCACCCGTTAGCACTGAATAAATCCCAGGGCCTGCTGCTGGCAGTCAAGCTGCCACTTCCCGTGAGCAAGCATCTCTCTCCCTCACTCCCACAGAGCCTCATAACAGGAGACAGGAGGGCAGGGAGAGGCCACCCCGGGGTGAAGAGGTGGCTAAGCAGCTGCTCTGGGTTCATTTGCCTAGAGCTGTGCCCGGGGCTCTGGCTGCAAGCCAATGATGACAGCTCAGCTCCTGCCTCCACCCCAACGTCCCACCTCCGTCTTCTGGTCACTTGAGGTGCTCCACAGGGCCAGGGACAGGCTCTGCTGGGAACACACAACTTTGGAGACAGTGAAGATCCACACGAGGGCTTGCACGCTGCTACCCAGGGAACCAGTGTGGCTCAGGGTGGAGGGTGCTCCACAGGTGGGACAGACACACAGGTATACATGCCTGAGCTCACAGTGCACAGCCCACAGGGCAGTAGCACCGTGTCTCCTGTCCCCATGGTCACTGGTCAGACATGTACCTAGACTCACCCCTGGATGCAGAGAGCCAGTACAATGCCATCGTGACCTTCCAGTGTCTTCTGGCACTTGTAGGTGGTACATGTGTCCCACACCTGCAGAGACCAGGGCCACAGTGAGACCCAGCAGAATCAGCACAGTGCCAAGGGGCAGCAATGGCAGGAATAAGTAAGGGAGCCCCCAGGGGGAACCCCGGGGAGAAGGCCCCACTCATGGACAGGCTGGAGCTGGTAGAAGCTGATATACAGTGCCCACCCCAGCCAGACTGCAGAGCCACAGGACCCTACCCACCTTGATGGTCTTGTCAGAGGAGCCGCTGAAAAGCAAGTCACCCATGGAGTAGACACAGAGACACCAGACGGGACCCTGGTGGCCTACGAAGGTCCCTTTGCACTTGAAGATCTGCTGAGGGTCGTAGGCTGCAAACATGGGAAAAATGGGTTGAGGGACCCAGGGGTGTCTTTGGGCGGGCGGGTGGGAGAGACCTCGGGCCCATACTCACATCCCAGGATGCCCATGTTCAGCCGTGCATTGATGTGGGACAGCTCATCCTGCAGGGACAAGAGCAGACCAGAGGGCAGGTGGGCGGAGCTACCACAGCCTCCAGGGCAAGCTCCACAGCCCGGCTGCCTTTGCCCTGGGGCAGGACAGGGGTGGCAGCAGCCCTTGCCCAAACAGACCCTGAATCCTGACTAGTGGGGGAAGCCTCCCTGCTGGGGCCTGAGCAGAGGATGGCCCTGCCCTCCTGGGTCCCCCCACCCCCAAAGGCCCACCCACTCACATTCAGCATGGACGCATCCCTCCGGAACTCCATGAGGTCTTCGCTAAGCTTGCTCTGGTTTTCATCCAGGACATCTGAACGGCAGAAGAGGGTGTGAGTGATACTGGGGCCAGATAAGTGGCTGCGCCCCCGCCCCCTCCGAGCCACCCCTCACCAAACTTGAGCTCAAGGCTCTTCTCCAGCTGATCGATTTTCTCCGAAAGTTTGCCCAGCATGGAGCGCAGGAAGGCAATCTCCTGGTCCTTCTGGGCCAATGCCACGTGCATCTCGTGGAAGCGGTCATCCGTCTGCTGCAGGAACTCCTTCAGGCCCTCGAAGCGGCACGTCTCCAGGTGTGTCTCGTATGTGTCCTGGTTCCCGATGAATGTGCATCTGGGGAAGTGGGTCAGCTGCCCCCCTGTCCACCCAGCAGGACCCTGCCTGTGCCTCCCCAGCCCCATCCTTCCCTCTCCACTCCTGTGTCGCCTGCAGCCCTGGCCCGGCTGCCCGCACCCACACCTGCCCACCTGCCCCTACTCCCCACCCAGCTACCACCGGGCCACTTCAGAAGTCCCAACTGTCACCCCAGCAATGCTTGCGAAGGGCCCCTCCCTCCCCAAGGACAAGGCCTATGCCCCTCGCCAGTCTCACCAGCGGGGCTCCTGCCCCTTCTGCCCCGCCCCCCTCTTGGCTCTCAACCCTGGCCCGCTGCAGGAGCGCCCCTGCCATGCCTCTCCTGATGCTCCCAGGGCTCCCCTGCATTTTCTGAGGCTAGGAGAGGATCAGGGACATTAGTGTGGGGACTGGCACGCAGGTAGCGCTCAGCTGCGGGGGGATGGGGACAGCCGCCCACCCGGCCCGCCCCGCCCACTCACCCGTACTTGGAGTGAGGACACTTGATGTGCTCACACTCCTTGAGGTGAGCCTCCAGGTTCATCTTGAGGAGCGGGGGGCAGCTGGGGTTGTTGGGGCACCGCACGGGCCGGTAGTCACAGCTGCTCTCGTGGTCCCTGTGGGGGGGCGGGGTGCAGGGGGGGTGGGCCTGGGCCTACAGGGGAGTCTCCAGAGAGGCAAAGGTGCTCATACCCCCATGGGGCTGAGGCCCTGGCAGGGGCACTTACTTCCGGGCGCTGAGCTTGATGGTGAAGGGGCACCCTCGGGGGTCCACCTCAAAGATGGTGGGCTTTCCAGTGCCCACTGCCCGGCAGCCGTGCCTACAGTGGATGAAGAGCTCCCCAATCTGCTCGGCAACTGCGATGTTGTTCACCACCACTGTCAGCTTGGCGTTGTCCACGGGACACTTCTCTGGGGGAGAGGGGCATGCTGACCCCCAAGGCCTGCTGGCCGCTCCTTCCCCTGGCAGCTCTGCCCAGGGGAAACTGAGTCCTGGCGAGGTGGGGGAGCAGTGGCAGGCCTGGTCCCCCCTCCCCCCCCCCCTGGGGGTACGAGCCTCTGCCAGGTGCCTAATCTGCTATCCATCTGTCCCTCTGAGACACCTGGCATGGAATGGGGCCGCAAGTGGGCTACCAAGAAGGATGGCAGGAGTGATGTGGCCTCTCAGCTAGAGAAGTCTGGGGCAGGGCCAGGAGGGCTTGGGGAAGAGCTGGGAGGGCAGCCAGGCCTGGGGCCCAGCGGTGGCATTAGGCTGGCCGCCTCAGCAGTGAGCACGGCCTCATGGAGGGTGCGGGCTCTGACCCTGGGACCTGGCCCACACACGCTGCAGGGGCTCTAGGTCTGGAGACACTGGAGTCCTGGGTCCCCTGCCCTGAACACGGAGGTCCCGAGCTTCAGCCTGAGCCTCCAGGGGTCGCTGCCCAACAGCGTCCCAACCCCCACTGCCAACAACAGGTACTGTCAGCGCCAGGCCTGGGCCTGGGAGGAACCTACCTGACTTCAATGCACATCTTCTACAGAACGTGTGCTGTGGGGACAAAGGGTAGACTTGGGGGACAGCTGTGGGGTCCTCTTTCCCCAAGCTCATGGCCTCCACCTCCCCGAGCCCACTGCAGGGGCACCCACTGTGCAGGCTGGCCTGCAGCCAAGGCCAAGGCCCACGTACAGGAGCCAGCAGTCCTGGCCCAGACACACCAGGGTGAGCTGTGGGGCAGGTAGGGCCAGGAGAGGTGGTAGACTCACCCCACATGTGGTGATCACGGGGTCCTTGAACACAGTGCAGCACAGCTGGCAGCACAGCTTCACTGAGGGCTGCTCGGCAAACACCAGCGGCTCCTGGGACCAGGCAGGAGAAGACAGGGATGGTGGGAAGCCACCCATAATCCTGCACCACCCGGGCATGGCCACTCTCCCCTCAGGCCTGGGCTGCCCTCTTGGGGTGAGTATGCCCTGAGAGGAGCCTGCTGAGGGCTGGGGGCCCTGAGAGGGGCTGAGGAGAGAGAACAGGGGGCTGTGCCCCAGAGGCCGGGCCCGAGTAGGGTGGACCAGGTCCAGCAACCAGTCTTGGCCAGCCCTCACCTGCCTCTACCTGGGATACAGACTAGGAAGGCCCCACCTGAGTCCTGCCACCAGTGCCCGAAGAACGGGAGGCAGGAGTGTATGCCTAGAGGATCGAGCCTGGCCCCCAGAGTCCCTAACCTGGACCAACAGGAACAGCAGGCCCTGCCCAGGCCCGATCCACCTGCCCCTGTGATCAGACTGGCAGAAACGAGGGGATGGTGCCTCCACACTGCGGCAGCGGGGCCAGTCCTCGAAGCCCTCTGCCCCGAACCCCAGACCTACCGGCTCCTCCTCCTCCTCGGGCAGTGAGAATGTGGACCGCAGGGACATGCTGGACTCAGAGTGCAGGGAGCGGACGGAGATGGCCGAGTCGGAGCGGCGGGGCGTGCTGATGGGGGGCTGCGCAGAGATGGGTGGCGTCAGGGTCTCTGCAGGGAGTCTGAGCGGCAGGCAGGGTGAGAGGGCAGCCCTGTGGAAGCGGGAGGGCAGGGGCGACCCTGGGGCCACCTCACGGAGCAGGCGTGGCTGTGGTCCACAGGGCCCGGGGTATGCCGGGGCCAGTGCAGCAGCAGGTCCCGCCTGCCACCCAAGCCGGCCCCAGCCCTGGTGTCAGCCTGCCCGCCCACATCTGCCAGCTCCCTTTGTGTAAATGGAGAGACTTCCTGCTATTCAATTCTGTGAGGACACACTCAGGCAGCTTCCTGCTTCCCATGAGGGAATGTGGGCCACAGAGGGGGCACCTCCACCAGCCAATCCTGGGCAGCTGGGCCCGACTGCTAGATGCAAGGGGATGGGAGACCGACTGGGAGAGGCTGCTGGGCTCCAGGTGCCCGCCAGCCTCGGCTGCCAGCCTGGCCTCCCTGGCCAGGGACACAAGGTTCAGTGAAAGATGCTCGGAGGGATGGCAGGGACAGGCCCCAGTGAACCCCACTGAGCTTCCTGAGGGCAGGGGGTGAGGGCACAGGTGCCTGCCTCTGCCTAAACCAATGATGGGGGAGTCTGGGAGGAGGGGTAGGCTCTGTCCCTTTTGCCCCTCTGAGCCTGGAAACCTCCAGAACTTTCCAAGAGCCATTGCTTCTCACGGCTCCTCCCCCAGCACTGACAAGGGCTTCATTAGTGAGCCACACTGCAGGCCACAGCCCCAACCCCAACACAGACCTGTCTTCTGAGTCTCACTGCCCTGGGTCCCTGCTGCTGTTCTGCGAGACTCTGTCCCCCAACGGCCTGCCTGTGAAACCCGAGGGCTCAGGGGCACAGGGTTGGTCGTTCCCACGCTGGCAGAGGAGAGCACTGAGTCCTAGGTGCCCAGATGTGCCTCCCTCACCAGGGCAGTGCCCACCTCCCCTCAGCGTCCCAAGCGGCCACATATGAAAACACATGAGAAGCAGAGTCAGAGGAAGTGAGTCAAAACATCCCCATGGCAGCCGTGGAAACCAGCAGGCAAGCGGGCCCAGACAAGAGCTGGCTTGGGGCTCCGCTCTGCCCCACCTGCCCACTGATCTCTGGGCTCCCGCCCGCTAGCACAGGGGCAGACAGCAGCCAGGACTGGGGGGTGGGAAGAAGGCAGAGGGTCCCTGTGGGGCAACAGCAAATAAGAAGGTGCCCACAGTTCTTGAACACCTCCATGACCCACAGGGACACCAGTGGTCACAGGATCACAGGCACAGTGACTCCCCCTGCTTCAAGGCCCAGGCAGCAGGCGGGAGGTTGTGGAGACTGAGGTGGGCTGGGGCCCAGGGAGTGGGGCAGGGACAGGCCTGACTTGTCCTGAGGGCTTAGCACAGTGCCTGGAGCACATGTGTTTGTTCAGTCAGTTAAGAACACTTTTTCCCCGCACTTTGGGAGGCCGAGGCAAGTGGGTTGCCTGAGCCCGTGGGTTCAAGACCAGCCTGGGCAACTTGGCGAGACCTCGTCTCTACAATAAATCAAAAAA